GGCAGGAGAGCAGGGACACAGGAAGATCACCTTTGAAATAACGCTGCGTCCCCATCTTAGACACACTGAGAGCAAGCAAGCCCTTGAGTCTATCATCTCGGACTGCTGGGACTTAGCAAAACGTACCACCTACCAAGCCACTAATCAACCGGCATTAACTGAGTGTCTGTTTCATGTTCTGCACACTTCTGGCACTGCTGTGGGATGGTACAACATATATAAGCATATGACAGGGCTCCTAATTTCAAGAAACTTAACCTACAATTCACTGTATGAAAATATTAGTAAATCATTCGGGACCTTAAATATATAAAACTAAGTGAAAGAGTAGCAGGTTCCAAACCCGAAGACACAGGATAGTATAGGTCTTCACTTCCCTTTGGAGAAGTGAAACTCAGCTGATCCCACAAGGGTCGCTGGGTGGAAAAAAGCACCCATGGGTGGTCATGATGCCCGCTTTCCCCACCGTGGGTCCTTAGGTGTCCCTGAGGAGCACAGGCACACCTTGGGGACTATGCAGGTTTGGTTCCAGACCACCCACCACAATAAAGAGATTACTGCTGTAAACTGAGTCACACCAATTTTTGGCTTCCTGGTACCTGTAACAGTTATGTTTATACTATCCTGTCATCTATTAAGTGTGCAAAGCATGTCTAGAAAACAATGTACATACCTTAAAAAGTACTTTATTGCTAAAAAAAAAAAAGTGCAAACCATCATCATCTGAGCCTTCAACGAGCTGTCTGTCATCTTTTTGCTGGTGAAGGGTTTGAAATACTTTGAGAGTTACCAAAGTGTGATGCAGAGACACGAGGTAAGCAAATGCTGTAGGAACAAAAGGGTGCCAACAGCCTTGCTCGACGCAGGGTTGCCACAGACCTTCAATTTCCCCCACAAAAACGCAATGTCTGCCAGGTGCAATAAAGCGGGGTCTGCCTGTACCCTGTCAGCACATCATCCCTTACCTATGAAAGGGCCCCTATAAAGGGGACACAGACAGCAATTTCTAGGACCTGAGGTTCTGTTTCTTTAGAGCACTCACGGTTCAGCACATTTGAAGTGAGCCTATAAGTAGTTAAGAAACAGAAGTGTGTAGTGGTCACAGCTAACCAAGTCCGTTAACCAGCTGATCCTGAGGAAACTATCAGCTTCCTACACTGACCACTTCACGGAAGCCAGCTATTTCCCCCCCGGCCCTGCTGGTCCTCTGTCTGCCCCCTCCCATCAACCACTATTGTTTTCTATGAGGACTGACTGGGAAGCTGCTGTGCACTCAGCATCAGGCCTTAAAGAAGAATAAGAGGGACTTCCCTGGTGGTCCAGTGGCTAAGACTCCGTGCTCCCAATGCAGGGGGCCCAGGTTCGATCCCTGGTCGGGGAACTAAGATCCCGCATGCCACAACTAAGGAGCCCACATGCCACAACTAAGACCCCACATGCCACAACTAAGACCCCACATGCCACAACTAAGGAGCCCACAAGCCACAACTAAGAAGTGCACACGCTGCAACTAAGAGCCCGCAGGTGGCCACAAAGACCCGGCACAGCCAAATAAATAAATAAATATGAAGGGAAAAAAAAGAACAAGACATGGTCCCTGCCTTCAACAAAGCTTAAGATATGTCTGGAGAGGAAGGAACAGGAAGCAACAGGAGGACGAGAAAGGGCCACGCTGGTGTCAAGAGTCTACGAACAATAGGCATTGGGGGAAGAGAGGGTTCTGGTTGGCCCTGGAGGGCAGGGGTGTGGGAGGAGGGTGGGCGGAGGGTGGAGGCGGAGGGTGGAGGGGGGGGCAGGCAAGGGAGGAAGGGAGGGGTGGGGCGGCCTGGCAACAGAACCTCAGCTTTCCTCTGAAGCCAGAAAAGCACCTCCTTCCGGTGCCCAGAGAGCTACCTGTCCAGTCACAGCAGAAACGCAGAAGGAAAAGATTCACTCGCAACTCGGCCTCCCACTCGTTCCATGCATCGCGGGAACGTGTACCTGGGCAAGTTGCTGCCGGCAGGGTCACCCCACAATCACTGCACCAAAATCCATCAGCAGGGCCCCAAGCCCCAGGTTTAATCGTCAATCGTGTCGCTGTAATAATGAGGAACCTCTAACAGCGATCACACTGACAATTTTGAAAGACGTTTACGAACTCTTGTGTCGAAAACGTCAAGAATTTCCACTCACAAAATCTTGGGGAATTTAGGGGTCATCAGCCCGCTTCCCCCTTCCACGTGGCCTCAGTCGTACTGCGTTGAGTGGACCCATTGATGTCAAAACCACCAGCATGAAAAGGTGCGAGTGCTACACTGTTCCAACGGCCCTACAGATACCGACGCAGGTCCGTGGAGTCAAGAGCTGTCCCCAGATCAAGGTCCCAGTGTGACGAAGCTGGTGATTCATTCCCTAAGTACACAAGAGGAGATATCACGACAGTGTAACTGGCACACGAAGAGAAAAACACACATACTTTTTCAAGATGAAAGCAGTGCTGAGGGGTTATCTTTTGAGTCTGAGTTTGAATGCGGTGCTGTCAGCCAGTCCCCGTTAAAGACCACGGAAAGTGAAAGACACTGATTACAATAAAAAGTGACAGGAGGGTGGGCACACCCACCTCCGTGTAATGCATATTTATATTTCCATCAAATGGACATATTTACTATAAACACTGGAAAAACCATAGCAAAGCCATTCATTTAAATGCCAGAAAAACAGTAAAAGATGCTAATTTGACCTTAGTGGATGGAACAGATCGGGTGTCACTGACACCACTCACAGTGGCTTGAAACAGAATTTACCAAGACAATTAATTAGAGCTTACTGGATTAGGTCAAGAGTGTCTCAAATGGGAGAAAGGGGAAGAAAAAAAAAAAAAGGAAGAAATAAATAAAAAGTTTGCATCCATTCACAGCGAACCTCTTCAGCAGCAGACACAATTTAACTGTATTTATGCCTACCCAAATTAATCTCATGTTGCATGTCCGGAAAGACAAATTGATCCCCTGATCCCTGAGATTTCTCTCTTTGGGGACATTTAAAAAGAAATAAACTACAACCACCTGAAAGACTTTTTAAGGACCAGATCAATTAATGGTATAATAGGCATAAAACATGTTTGGCTTTCTTGTTTAAATGGAAACTTTTGCTCTGATGATGATGCAAGATCTAACAACAGTAGTAAGCTTGGCAATTAAGAAATATGTTCATGAGCTAAACGACAGACAGCTTCTGGAATTTCTGCTCACAAAATCTGGGGTAATTTAGGGATCATGCAGTCCCCCCTCCAAAACAAACTGCAAATCCCCTCTGAACTGGGATTAGGGTCTCAGTGAAGAGCAGAACCGTTTATTACAAAAGCAATGAAAGTGGCAGCATATTACCTGTTACAATAACGATCACACGTGACCTGTCAGCCTCACTTTCAGCTGCTGGAGCCCCCGATACGCAAACATGACAGTTGTGCCCCTCTGCCCTTGCCATACAAACATGTGCTTTTTGCTAAAAATGAACTCATACGCCTGTCTGCTGCACACGAGGGGCCCTAACTGCCACTCCATTCTCAGTAATCAACAGCTCTGTGACATTGCTTCAAGCTGTATATAACACACACACACACATAAATTCGCGACACAAATCCCTCAACATGACATTCTGCTTCGTTTCACTGGACGTGGAAAGCTCCCTAACAAATTCCGGCCACATGATTAGAAAAATCATTCAAGTCTGCAGGAAATATGGCAAGCACAAAGAAGTGACCGTCAATTAGAAATCAGATGGCAGAGTGAGTCCCTGTCATTAAAAACTTTAAAGCCACAGCTCTAAAAATAAAATGGCGGGCTTCCCTGGTGGCACAGTGGTTGAGAGTCCGCCTGCCGATGCAGGGGACGCGGGTTCGTGCCCCAGTCCGGGAGGATCCCACATGCCGCGGAGCGGCTAGGCCCATGAGCCATGGCCGCTGAGCCTGCGTGTCCGGAGCCTGTGCTCCGCAACGGGAGAGGCCACAATAGTGAGAGGCCCGTGTACCACAAAAAAATAAAGAAATAAATAAAATAAATAAAATGGCCCACAATTATTCACAGAAGATACGTTACAAAAGGTATGAAATCGACTATATGTTAACCGTACCACTGCTAATGCCCAGGACAATTTTCTTTGGAAACCAGACTCAAGAACTTGAAAAACACAGATGCAAGTTTATATAATTTTTACAATTTGGGGCTTTTCTTCTCCCCCCATCAAGCAGGGAAGAAAAGTATAGCAACAGTTACATCTTCCCCTTTTGAGGAGAAAGTATAAATGAAAGCAAAGAACTCTTATTCTAACTTTTTTTTTTAATTAATTAATTTATTTATTTTTGGCTGCATTGGCTCTTCGTTGCTGTGCGCGGGCTTTCTCTAGTTGTGGTGAGCGGGGGCTACTCTTTGTTGCAGTGCGCGGGCTTCTCATTGCGGTGGCTTCTCTTGTTGCGGAGCACGGGCTTTAGGCGCGCGGGCTTCAGGAGTTGTGGCACGTGGGCTCAGGAGTTGTGGCTCACGGGCTCTAGAGTGCAGGCTCAGTAGTTGTGGTGCACGGGCTTAGCTGCTCCGCAGCATGTGGGATCTTCCCGGACCAGGGCTCAAACCCATGTCCCCTGCACTGGCAGGCGGATTCTTAACCACTGTGCCACCAGGGAAGCCCTCCTCTTTTTGATAAGTTTTTTTTTTTTTAAATAATAATGAAAGTCTCAGCATTTCAGGTCACTGCAGTAATTACCATGCCCTAAGGGGACCATTTCCAGACAATGTCACTGTCTTTCTGCAGTTTACACACATGATAGGGAAGAATCCTCAAAATAGAGCAAACTACAAAATACAGGACCACCATCTGCTCAGGTGCCTTAGTGTCACCCAAGTAACCTCTCGGTTTGCCTAAATAATCACTTGTCATTAGTGTCTGTAAAGGAAGACAGAAGAATCAGCAGTACTGCCACAGTCCCTAAAAGTCAGAAGTTGTGTAACAGGACGGCGCTGACTTACTCGTTAGCTTGTTGTGGCTGAGGACCAGCTGTGTGATGTGGGACAGGGTGACTGTAAAAGAAAAAAGAGAAATCACACAGTCAGTTAATGTACCCAAAGTACACCTACACTCCTACAAGGTGAAGTGCTAAGTTATTTTCCCAGGTTGGAGTGTTATCGCTCGAAAAAAGAGAAGCAGGGGTTCACAGAAGGCTGTCTGCTCAATGTTAAACCAAATCAGGAAAAGCTATGCAATTAGCAGAGCAGAGCGAGTCAGCACTGATGGCATTAATGTCGCAGGGCCAAACGCGACAAGGCCCCGTTAGTGCCGCTCGGCAGCCTGGCCCAGTGGTCCAGCCTCAAGAGCCCATCTCACTAAGGGGACCGGTCAGGAGATCCGGCCCAGAGCCCGGGGAGGGACAGCTCCTCCCCCACTTCCCCACACGCTTAAACAAACCATCGCGTCGAGACAGGGACCACGTCACCCTACCGCCCCTGAGCCCACGGTCAACCCCGAAACGCTGCTACAGGCTCTCAGCTGATCCCAGTAAGAACCTTCCACAAGCTCCTCTCTACAAGTTTTGGTTGACATTTCAAAGCAGCAGCAGATTGCTCACCAATTTCGAACATTATCATGGAGGCTTAATCTGCTGAAAAAGATTAGGTCTGCTTTAAAAAGAAAAACAGGTTTTTCCAACTATCGAGAAAGAAAGTATACATACAGATCCATTTAAAAAAGAAAAAGAAGAAGAAAAGAAAGAAAAGGAAAAAAAAAAAGCCAGACGAGGCTTCCCATGTGGCGCAGTGGTTGAGAGTCCGCCTGCCGATGCAGGGGACACGGGTTCGTGCCCCGGTCCTGGAGGATCCCACATGCCGCGGGGTGGCTGGACCTGTGAGCCATGGCCGCTGAGCCTGCGCGTCCGGAGCCTGTGCTCCGCAACAGGAGAGGCCACAGCAGTGAGAGGCCCGCGTACCCGAAAAAAAAAAAAAAAAAAAAACCCAGACGGAAAAAAGTGACCTGCCTTCTACTTTGGGTTCTAAAATTTCACTGTGTGGTCAGCAAGCTATATGTATATTTTATTTTTGTGGGTATATATATAAATTATATATATACACACACCTATTTATATAAATTAAATATTTATATATAAATTAAAATCTAAATGATTTTACACAATATACTAAATATACTATTTAAATACAGTATACTTTATACAGTATACTTTATATTACAATTTTAAACGCAGATGTATTAGTGAAGAAACATATTTAAAATTTTTAAAAAATTTTTCCGGGCTTCCCTGGTGGCGCAGTGGTTGAGAGTCCGCCTGCGGATGCAGGGGACGCGGGTTCGTGCCCCGGTCCGGGAAGATCCCACATGCCCCGGAGGGCTGGTCCCATGAGCCATGGCCACTGAGCCTGCGCATCCGGAGCCTGTGCTCCGCAGTGGGAGAGGCCACAACAGTGAGAGGCCCGCGTACCGCAAAAAAAAAAAAAAAAAATTTTTCCAATATTCTTTCTATAAGAACGTTACTTTAATGCAACAGAGTTGCATTAATGCATTATTATTATTATTAATGCATTATTTTAATGCAACAGAGTTTTTTCCATAAAGGAATAATAAGACAAATATTTTTTCTCAAGAAGGGTCTCAGGGTTGGACCCCAGCATCCTTGAAAAAAATAGGTATCATCGCTGACCACAATTTTTGAGTGTTTTTCTTTTGTTCAACCTCCCACAAAGTTAGAGAAGATATAATGCAAAGACCTGCTTTTCTGCCCTGACCCATTTGAGATTAAGCTGTTGGCTTGATGTCCCATAAACTTTAGGGTATTCCTACAAAGACATTTTCCTGCAAAACCACAACAAAATCACCAAAGTCAAAAACTGAGCACGATACATCACTACCATCTAATCCTCAGCCCCCAAGTTTCAGCAAATGCCCCGGTGTCCTTTTGACGCGTCCCCACCACTGAGGACTTCCCTGCTTTCTGGCAAGAGACAGTCAAGCTCATCTTGTACTTCTGCTGCCACAGGCTTGGAATCAATCAGCCACTTCTCCAATGAGCTGATTCTGTGGAAAATAGTACTTACAAGCCAAAATCTGGGCACTAGATGTGCTCGTTGTTACTTGGGGGCTCAGTATTCTCAGTGCACAGAATTAGAGAATACACACACTCACCCCCACACACACACATCTGTACGGATCTGTACACACACATCTGAACTTGAATCCCAAGTTCACACCAATATATGGATTCCAATACAACACTGCATGGTTCATTCTCATTTTCTCCGTTTCCTATTTGTTAACTCCCTTCTCTAACAGCGAGAACTCTGGCGTCCATTATTTTTAACCTCCTTACGTACGCCATCGATACCCCTACATATAACTGCGTGAAGCAGGGTTATCTTACAGCCGTGTTGGGATGGCTCTATGCTGACCTGCAGGGACACCTGGAAGTCTGATACTGATTCTGGGTCAAGATCCAGATGAGTAGATGAGCTCGAAATGTGTCATGTCCTGTTCAAAGTTGCAAACACCTTGGAGGCTCCAGGACCAGCATGTTCACATGTCCAGGGATGTGTGGTCACTGGCTTATACCTGGTTAGAGGCACCTGACCAGTCGGGCACAGAAGACAGCGCTAGACATTTCTGCCCACGCACTCCCAACACCCAGACTCGTTGAATATGTCTTGAAAGTTCTTACCTGGAGATAAAGTATGCCCTGAGCAACCAAGAAACGAGCCTGGGGGGCTGCGAGCCTGGGGGGCTGCGCCCTGGGAACCCTGGCGTTCGCCTGTGCTTTGTAACCCCTGCTAAGCTATGTCCTGTGCCCTCATTAACTCCCTGGGTGAGTGGGCTCTGAGGAACCTTCTGGGTTCTTTCAACTATGCACCCGTGTATTAATGCAGGAACCCATCTCCCCATGCTCTTTCTTCCTACCTGGACACCTGCCCAGTTCACCCTCCTCACCTGCACCTCCAACCTCCTGGCCGTGGTCCTGCTTTGGGGCTTGGACCCCCCAAGCCAGGCTCCCCATCCTGCTCTGGGCCACCACGCCCACCCCCCAACACCTGAATGCCTCTTTTTCTGTTGCACTTACTGGCTTCGGGATTGAAACCTTAGGGGAGGAGGAAGAGAAAGGCAAAGCACAGGGGAAGAGCATTTTTGTGATTTTAAAAGCATAACCATGATGGCTTCTTACATGACAAGTTAGATTCTAGACACTGCAGAACATCTCACACATTTGTATTTATAAGAGTTAAGACTGTTCTTGTCCACCAGATAAAGCATTCCTTTACCTCTGAGGCATAGAGTCTGATATGAAAACAAAAAATCTCCAAGAGCTGTCCTCATACAAAACCAGATGAAACAGCTTCAGAGATATACGAGTTAAGACAGTGGTCAGTATCAAAGGAGAACAAACCACAAATAACAGGTGTTACACAAGAGTTTCTCTCTCACTTACACACGGGCAGTCCAGAGGTTCCTGGTATCTTGTTGCTCAGCCATTCATGGATCCCACCTCATGCTCCAAAAAGGCTGCCTGAGCTTAGCCATCATGCCTGCATTCCCCTTGGGAAGACGGAAAGGGGAAAAAAGCCTTCCTCCTTCACAATTCTTCCAAGAAATTGCACACGGCACTTCCATTTACAAGCAATTAATCAACATTTTGTAATACAGTGATGCCTAGATGCAAAAGAGGTGGGGAAACACAGCCTGGATTCCAAGTGACCACATGCCAGATACAAGTGGGGGTTTTATAACCCACAAAGACGGGGCAAACCAAAACAGACAACTAGCAGCCTCTCACACTAGCAAACCACTCCATTTGAGAGTCACAGAAATCAATTCTGATGACAAAAGCAAAAACCCCTGATAATCTGATCGCCTCCTGCCGTAATTTTTCCTAAAATATCACAACTACCATAATTAAAGAGAAAAAAACTTTGCTCTTCTCGCAGCTAACATTCACAATGAAAGATTTAATTAGGAAAAGTTGGGCCTTTGCAATCTTTTCATTCTGTCTTCTCTACAAGCATTTAGCCGGGGAGAAAATCAGTAAGTTTGAAAGTCCTTTTTTTTTTTTAAATAGAGAAGAGAAGTGCATTTGTTGCTTCACCTGATCACACCACTAGAGATGTATTTTTCTTTCTCATTATTGTTACAGGGCTACATGCTAAAGTACGTAAGAGGGAGAAAAATTAGAGCAGAAAAGAAAAAGTTAATAAAAGATCTGTGAGGAAATGTTTAGGGCAACAAAGGACTCCAGGCTGGGTCTGCGGGGAGAGCAGTTAAGTTGGACAGAATTGAAATCACAGAATCAATCACAAAGCCTGTGACAGGCAAAGACCAAGGACCAACGGACATATTCATGCAACCTGCCACTCCCCTCCACTTGGCCGTGGTGAGCCCATTGTGGGTTTCCTATGGAAACTGCAGTGTTAAAAAAGGAGAAAAGGTCTAGCAGAATAGAATGGCTTATTTAAAAGTACAATAGCCACCCTAGTCAATCATGTGGGTGAAATGGAATGAGGCTGTCCCCACTGACCTGCCCTGCTAACCCTAACCGCACACTGGGAAATCTCCCGCTGCAGGAATATCATACCTTACGGTCCTGCCAGCCAGGAACTGTCAGGTTGCAGGGGCACCAGAACAGTGACAACAAACTGTTACTAAAATTCCTAAAGCGATATTAAACCATGCACTGCCGGGCATTTTCTAAGTCGAATGCACTTCCAAAAGTCAGCTAAATAACTGAGAAAACGTGTTGGCATACTCAGTTGACTGCTGCCACGCCTCGGATACCATTCTGTCTTCAGCCTTTAGAAACGGTATGTGGGGACTTCCCTGGTGGCGCAGTGGTGAGGAATCCACCTGCCAGTGCAGGGGACACAGGTTCGAGCCCTGGTCCGGGAAGATCCCACATGCCGCAGAGCAACTAAGCCCGTGCGCCACAACTACTGAGCCTGCGCTATACAGCCCGCAAGCCACAACTACTGAGCCCACGTGCCACAACTACTGAGCCCGCGAGCCACAACTGGATATTTACCAGGCACGCTCAGAG